TGTATTTTTTCTGAAGAAAGATGAAATAAAGTACTGTGTTGGTTACTTATGTATGAAGTTCTATGATCAAAGAATAAAAATAGTCAACTCAGTGATGTTCCAGAAACAGAGATTAAAGTCTCAGGAAGTTGGTATCTATTTTGGCTTCCATATGGACTCTCTGGAATGCCATTTGCAATCTACAGTTAAAAACTTTTGCCTCTATGAAACAGTTGTGACATGCAGTCCTGAGTATGAAGTGCAATGAACAATGAGATTGGATTTTTTTTTTTTTGGAGGGGGAGAAGATTATATTAACTCATTGATTTCTCACAGCAACCCATTCCCTATTTATCATACACAAATATCAATAATTAAGTAGGAAACAATGGTGAAAAGATAAGTGGAATGAAGAGAATTAGACTGATGTCTGCTTTTATGTTTGGATAGTGCCAGTCCCTGTAGTCAGTCTCAACATTTATGATGTTGGCCCTACCGCCATGCACGTGCAGTGGCAGCCAGTGGGAGGAGCTACCGGCTACAACTTGTCATATGAACCTGTTAAGGGCACAGAATCCACAAAACCCAAAGAGGTGAGAGAGGTTTGTTTCCTTATCACTGGGTCTTCCTGAGACTTTACAGTTGCACAGTCCCCATTACAATACAATTACATATGAACTCATTTATAACTTTACAGACAAAACAGAAAAATAGAAAATCAGGTTTGTGGCCTTTGACAGATTTTAGAAAACGTTGGCATGAAAAAAGAAATACAGTTCTGGTAAATGAAAAGTAAAAGCTGTGTTATAATCTAGTGGTTACAAATAAGCTTCAACTGGATATCCCCAGTAAGTGGAAACTTTTGGTTTGAGCGTCTTCTTTCTGTTGGGCACATCCATATACAGATGCGTGTGGGGCCAACTGTGAATGATATGCAGCTGACTGACCTCCTGCCCAACACTGAGTATGCCATCACGGTCCAGGCTGCCCTGCACGACCTCACTAGTGAACCTGTCACGGCTCGGGAATTTACCTGTAAGATACTGCTAGTTTTCCTTCCCTTCTCTTTACTGTAAACATAACATTCATTTGGAATTTCTTTCACATGATGCTATCAATAATTTGATAACTTGTGCATAAATTATGGAGTTATTTTTGACAATCAAATTAGAAAATAAATACCTTAATTCTAGGGTTATGGCAGTGTCTTGAATTGATTTTAGGATGCACATTTTTTCTTTCCCTTTAAGATGCCTGATATTGAGATGTAACTTACAATCAATGGTGTCTTACTATTGCTCTTCTCAAAATGTCAGTCATGGCATAGAAGAAAATGATGGTGCATCTTACAGATGGTGTTGTCTTCGATCTATGAAATTGTATGTAGCATTGGTGAGAATGGGAATGTTGGGTGAGTGTAGTTTTGGATGAAGATACTGGGTTTAGGATCTAGATGTTCCAAGTTCTTGTTGAAATAGAAACTCTATGGCATGTGTGAATAATTCTGTTTAAATTAAATGAATTAATCAATTTACCCAATCCAAAAACTTACTGATCATCTATGATATACCACTCTCTGTGCTAGGTGTTGGGAATATACCACTAAGTAATACAAAGCAGTATAGAGCATATGGACTCCTTCATGGTTTGCATTTCTCATGTGTGTATTGGTCAGCCTTTTCGTAGTTCTGCCTTGTTTGGCTAATTATTTAGGTGCTTTTTCTTGGAAAGTGACAATGATTGCACTCAGGATCCTTGCCTTACCCAGGTGGCATTTTGTTTCATGTTTGGAGAGGTGGACATGCTGGGATAGATGACTTTGTTTAAATTTCGTGAGTCTCAGCCCACATTTCTGAGGAAATTAAGAGGTTGGAAGGAACTTCGAGGTGGGGAAAGGAACTGAGGAGACAGAAGCCAGATGGGGCAGAGAAGTAAAAGAGCCTATGCAAGGTAGATCAGCATAAATTCACTGACAACAAATACATATATATTAGTCATCTTTTATGTGGTAGACCCTGTCTGGAGCTGGTGGTTTTGTGAAAACGGAATAGTGGCAGGTGGAAAGAGTGGGGAGTCAGCCAGGGATGGAGATAGATATGCTGAGAGAGAAGCTCCAAGAGTCATAGTGGGATGAAAGACAAATGTGGTCACGGATTTGGGTATGGCACTGGACTGCAGCAGTGGAGGAAGGGAGGACACAGAGAGATGCAGAGAGACAAAAACCTTGAAGGGATGAAGGTGCAGAAACATGGAAGTGGAGACAGATTTAGGGAGAGAGATGTACAGAGTCCAAATGAGAGACAAAGGAAAATGGTCAAATGGGCAGCCAGAGAGAGGGAGATATATCTCATATACCAAGAGAAAATCTCTTTGTTTTCAATTCTCTTCCCTCCTTTTTTAAGGTAACGTTTTGTTTGACTTGGTGAAAGTTTATCATTTGGATTTTCTTCTAACTATTTAGGCATCTGTGTTTTCTTATAAGCTACGGATGCTTTATATTGGCCCATCTTCATTCTTCTCTCTCATAACCATTTGTTTTTCTGTCAAATTCTTAAGGGAGCATAATTCTATGGGCTTTGCTTTCTATTTTAACTGATTTACATATCTGATTAAAAAGCATGAGCTGTACATTAATGATGAATTATGATTTATTATGAGTGAACAGCAAGTAACAGCTTATTTAAATAGAGTAGAAGATTAACATATAAATGAGAAGTTAGCATTATTCTAACAAAAAATTAAATTTATTCTATTTTTTAAAAAGCTTTCTTAAGAAGAATTCAGCTCTATCTGGTAGAATCATGGTACTTTTTATCATCTTAATATTTTTTTTCAGTTATTTTGCTGCACACCATTAAGTTTTCTCCAAACAGCTTCTTAAAAGCTTGTGTGGATACTTCAGAGCTTTGCGGTTGAGAACCACATCTGAATCTAGTGTCTTGTGCCTCTCCAGTGCCTCTACCCAGACCTGAAGATCTGAAACTCAGAGATGTGACTC